TATATAAATTTGATAAAAGTCAACGTTTTCCATTTTAATAGTTTTCTCTAGTATGGCAGAAATCACATGGTCCATCCAAAACACATGAGTAAAACATCCAAATCACATGATTAAATTTCAAATGGCTCTCACAGAGATCTAAATTGAGAAGGAAATCTTGAAATCTTGATAAAGATGACCGATCAGTCGATGCACCCAATAATAGGCCTTACTTAGGTTGTAAATGTTGACATTAATGAGGATAAGGAATCGCCGATCCCCCCATAAAACCTGGACTTGTGTTGGCTCTTCGGTCAGCCTTTGGGCCAAATGGCTCTTCAAATTGACATTTTTTTTTTCTGTTTTGAATACAAGAATGTTTTGAGTATTAGTTCCCAGGAGTGTATTGGTTGTTTGTTGGTCTATGTGGTTGGATTTATCTAAAAGGTATACAAACAGGAATATACCAAAGTGACTTGTAACAACTAACAACCAGAGGAGCATCAGAATCAGATTCAATCCAACAGATGGACACAGCCTCCCAAACGTCCTATTTTTTATAGGTGCTCAAGATTTTGAGGTAAACAAATAAGAGCTAAAAAAAGACTTTTATAGATATCAATTGGGAGTTTGAAGAGAAGAGGCCATAAATACTAGGAGTCTTGAAATTGGGAGTGATGTTAATAAAATTTGTGTCGCCATTATCAAAAAATTGGGAGTGATGTTAATAAAATTTGTGTCGCCATTATCAAAAAATTGGGAGTGATGTTAGATTAGTGGTTAAATCATCGAACTAACCGGTAACTGACGGCTAAAGTTAATATCATTAACTGATTTTGTTAAAAATATTAGAGCTAGCCACAAACTCATAGGCGGATGCAGAGGCATACCCATTATATTGGTCCTTGTCACAAGACATTAGTAAATTTTGAAGGAAAAATTACCTCATATATTTATTTTGATGATTGAACACAACAACTATAGGTGGTAATGAGAGTATTGTGTCACTAACAACAACACAACTCACTGCTTGTTCATAAATTGACATAAAATTAATTTATTATACTATTAGCTTTTTACCCGGTCCGTTGGCCCGAGAGATTTATTTTATAATTTATATGTTTAAATAATTTTAGATCTTTAAAATATTTTGTAACAAAGTTTGTAGTATGTCTATATTGAAATTTCCAATATTTAGCACTCACTTGTGATGCTTCGGTTTTCTAATCATAAATTATGTCGCTGCCACGTCCCATTTAGAACTTATGTTAAAATTTGTCAACCAAAACACTAATATTTAGCATACGCCAACCTAAACCACACACATATATATAGTTCAAGCTAGCGTGCGCCAGGAGTACGCTATACTCTTGCGTTCATACTATCATACGTCCATTGAGTTTTACTATTTAGACCTGGATTAACCAGAGTTTTTTGGGGCATGACACTATACCCTAACCTCTAATAGGTGAACTCCAGTGTCTAATTCTGTAACCTCTAATTTATGCACAAACTTCTTAATACCTATCTTCTATCGTATCTTGAGTAAAATAAAAAGTATAGTATACCTTGATATTACATATACATGTATATATATGTGTGTGCATATATTAGACTCAAAATTATCTAGAGATCTTGCTTTTACCCCCATAACGCCAGACAACCATTGGGGTTGTCTATCGTTTGATATATAATATATAAAGAGAAATATACTAAGATCCTACTATTCATTTCTTATCCTCTCCCGCCGCCCCTTTATGGAGAATAAAAGGGTAGGGATGACATGATCATAGCTCGATATGGTTTTATTATGTTCATCGTATCAGAGGTTATGTTCTTTTTTGCTCTTTTTTTTTTTTGCTTCTTTTCATTCTACTTTAGCACCTATGGTTGTGATCAGAGGTATTTAGCCCCCGAAAAGGATTGGGATTTTAGGACTTTTGGAAATCCAATACAAATTCATGATCCTCAAGTTTGGACGAACTCTCGACCAATGTTGTAAAGATTAGGACTTTTTAGTGAGAAATTCTTAGTAAAGATACTTCATTATTGGATTTATTCATCCATATTGAAACTTGACACACACCGTAGCCCTCATGATGACTAAATTCTCTAATCTCGACTCATTTCCATTTTGGATGTTTTTTTATTTTATCCAGACACTTAAATCTAGTATATTGTACAATATGTATCAATTGTTAATTCTTGAAGTTTATACTAAACCTCAACAGGTGGTCATTGTTTATATCTTGGCTTAGAATCTCAATCTAAGGCACTCACACACACTATCGAGGATTTTGGTCTTAACATGGTCGTTGAATGTGTAATTTTCAAAGATTTTATCACTTATATATTAATAATTGATAAACAATGTCTCCAATACACACATATTTCAAGTGCATTTAAAATGTCTTATCATTTGAACAATATCAGTGGATTTCATTTGATTATTTGCATTAAATTATTATCTTATACAACATATATCAATTCGTGTTTCTCGAGTTTGGACGAACTGGCAACCAATTTTGAGAGTTGAGATTATTGGATTAAGATACTTGATTGTTGGATAAATATGTTTATCCCAATTGACTATCTTACTAAAAATTGCCAACCTTTATTTGGTAAATGCCTAGGTTAGTAGTTGATGAAACGTGATGTTTATCGTAGATTCTCAACAAAGATTTTTCTAACCTTCACATCTATTATTTTCAAGGAATCTTGTGTCTCGTCCTAGGGTATGAAGTCAAAGTTCGTCAACAATCATACTTACGTCATTTTGAAAATTTTGATTTATAATCGTCGACAATAACTCCAAGTCTTACAGAAAATTTCTTAGCATACGACTTAGAACCTCAATAGAGCTTGCTCAATCAACATGATATAGAGCAAATATTATTAATGTGACCTTAGAACACATTATCAAATTATTGCACATGCGATTCCTCTTCATTTGAGGAATTTAAGGTAGAACATGATCTGAATGATTGTCAAATGTAATTATTGTCAAATGTTTATTTTCAAAGGTAATTGATTGTCAAATGTTTATTTTCTCTCTTTTCATATATATTTTGGTTTAATCGATTAAACCATAATTGTTAATGTGTATGTTTGTTAGATTATTTCATCAAAATATAACTTATCATTTAATTTTAGTAAAAAAGAGTAGAAAATTTACTTCATAAGGTTTAATCAGATATTTTTTATTTAAACAAATGTGATATATGTCACTGTCGATTTTCTTATTTATATTTTGTTTATTTAACAAAAAATTATTATTTATGTGTGTTTGGTTAAGTTTATCAACATGTAACTTATAATTAAAGACAAAAATGAATAAATGGATAAATGAAAAAGAATAATTGGATAAAAGAAATGGAAATATTAAAGAAGAGAGAGATAGCTCCACAAATACATCAATAACTACTTTTTTGTTTGTAAAAAAATTGTCCAACTTGGCAAATTGTGGATCCTCCAATTGCTTATGTGGCAAATATTTTTTTTTTTTGAATTGCCATAATATATAGATATATATAGATAGATAGATAGATAGATAGATAGATAGATAGATAGATAGATAGATAGATAGATTAACAAGATTCCAATTACAATAAAGACCTAATTGAGATATCTTTTCTCCTTATGCTATTCGATTTTTCCCCAACAACCCCGGAATTGTCCAACGACAGTGGCGATTTCAGTAGTTTTGATTCTACCAATTGCAACTGCAAGTTTAGGAGCATTTTTCAACTTTGAGTTACATGAAGAACAAGTTTCCAAGTCAATTGGCGGCCAGTTTGCTAATGATTGTTTAGTGAGATATATTAAGAGACTTGCTCAAGAGTGTAGACATCGAATATTTTTGTGTTTCTTTCACAATATGAAATCCCGTCGTGGTTGTTTTATGAAAACAATGACTGTATTAGTAAGGTTTTTAATCTGTGAAATATGAACGAGCTATTTGAATATAATTAATTTTCATTGTATTCATTGAATATGTATTAATTCACATTTATAATATGAAAAAAAAGTAAATGGGAAGTTTCAAATCATGCCTCACAAACTAAACCTAGTATATCAATACACATTTGTCTAAAAAAACATATGACGATTAATTTGGATCGGGTTCGCAAATTGCAATTCTTCTAGGTGCATAAACCGATCCTGTGCAAATTGAAAGGGCAATACAGCTAAAGGCTATGGTACTTCTACTAAACTCAAAAGCCACCAATATTTCCCTTCTTCTACCCTTATCTTGACATTTGAGAGGATATTCCCTTGCAAGAGGGACAAAGCTGAGGATATTCCAAGGATCAAGTCTCTATTCTCAGCAATCCAATGTGCATGAAATGCCAATTTCATATTTAATTTTGGTTAATAATGTTTCTAGTCCTTTGTTTCAACAAACAATTTCGTGTAACATTGCCTTCAATAAATACGTTCGTTTGCTCAAATCGGATAATATATATAAATCCATTACTAGCTCGCCACTTCATGTTTAACAAATACATACTTGACAACTCGCTGATCACGTATATTGGAGAATCGTTTTTCCTCACCTCATCTTGATAAGTCTTATACAAACCATGCATCGTGGTAGATAGGAAGAGAAGAGGGAGTCCGTAGTCGAGTTAAAGACAAGTATATAACATGAACTTCTAGCATACGTGACATAACCAATGATGAGTTTATTAAGGACGGGTCACGCTCACTCGTAATGGAGATAAATTGATAACACGACGACAACCTAGAAGTCGACAGTTCAAAACCCATGAAATTCTCAGCTTGTCTGTTCCCTTCCGCTATGCCGCCCTCCGATATTGGCGTTTGGACTTCCCTCAACTTGCATTCTCAGCCACTAAAATTCAAATCCTTAAATTTCAGTTCTTCGATCTCTCGGTTATATTTCTGGCCCCGGTCCATAATGTTGAAGCATAACAAATAGCAAATAGCAAATAGCAAAAGAAAGTCATGCTCATGCCTAAAATAAAAATGAAAAGTTGGTTGACAAGATGAACTGTGAATGAGCTTTGAAGCGGTAACACCTTAAGATGGGAATCCTAGAACCTTGCTGGAAGCCTGGAACAATGGCAGTTTTTGCAAGAATATCCCCAAATGCCACCATATCGGGAATACGGTATACATAAATAATGATGGAGACGGAGTTGTCTGGCAGTGATAAGAACAAATGTGGCTACGGTGTCATTGTGTGTATAAGCATACACTTTTATACAACTGTATGCATGTCTGTATTCAGTTCTCAATCGGCTGCACAATACATACAAAAACGTCGTAACTAACTAGAAGGACAAGACAATGATTCATCATCTGTAGCCTAATCGCAGAATACAAGAAGAATTGAGACAAAAACGTCTCATGTCTGTCTTGCTGATGGTTCCTACTTCAGATCCCATGCACAGAAAGGAATCTCCAGTTGGGATGCTCCTGACAATCCCTTTTGAGATAACTGGAATTTACGACTAATATTGTATCCTGAAACTGTTTCTCATTTGGGAAACTTCCATTTCTCAAGATGCTGCTGCTGAGACTTCAAGTGGCACACCAGGTGTAGGCTCCAGGACGCGAGCATCTGGCAACTCTTTGGACAGAAGTTCCTGCAGTGAACAAAACAAGGCAAGGGGCAACAACACAAGCTGAAACCGGCTTCACATGGATATTCCAGGAATTGGATTCAATAATAAGTATATGCTAAAAGAAGCCGACTGCTCATAGTCATATCCCCCATTACACTGTAACACAATGTTGAATGTTGATCCATTTTGATGAAACCAGCTTTAATTCAACATGAAATTGTGGAGGGAAGACCTATGCATGGCATAAGTATATGCTAAACGAAGCTGACTGCTCATGGTCATATCCCCTTTACACTGTTACACAATGTTGAATGTTGATCCATTTCAAACCGGCTTTAATTCACAGGAAATTGTGGAGGGAAGACCTATGCAGGGTAAATCATTGGCATGCTGCCATGCTCATAGGTTTGTCCTCCACTCCTACTCAACATGTCAGAGAGTCAGGTAATTGATTTAGTCACACAATATAGAGAAAATGGGTAGCATATGTCCAAAAACTATACCAAAAGGACGGCAACAGATTTTGGAAATGGTTTGGTAAGACTCCAGATTGGTGAATCCAGAAGTCCTCTGTCCTCTACGTTAGAAACTAGAATGAAGATACTTTTTTGTATGTTTATCATCATGGTTTCCCTACTGTATTGTAATGTTTTCAGTTGTTTTCTAGGGGAAACATCAAATGATTAGATAAGTCACAGCCTCATTCGATCCAGCTGGTGTGACACACAATGGCTTGTGCAGAAGAATTACTTGAGAAACGACTAAGCCTTCAATTGATCCCGCAGGAGATGAGGAACATGGTGAAATTAACAATGTCCCTATCATACATCTCTTCAAAGTTCAAACCAGGAAGTATTCTGTTTTAGTTTTTTCAATGGGTTGTGAAAATTGGTGCTTTAGTGTGCTGGTAAAAGAATCCAAACCTTGAATGATTCAATTGTCCCTTCTGACTGAATGATACTTGCAAGTAACCCTTTCGCATCCAGATCTCCATTTCTCATTGGCACAATGAACCTGGGCAGCATTACAATCCTGTCAGTATATGATACAACTATGCAAAAAGAATACAGAAGAGCATTCTGATAACTGATCCAAACCAAGGAACCGAGTGTTTACTTTGCATGCAGCAACTTTGCTAGTCGAACTGCATCTTCTTGTCCTGAAACTAGAGTAAATTTGGGCAGGAGCTGCTTTATGACAGGTGTGATCACGATATCCGCATTTTCTTTCCCGATTAAGTCCTGGTTGTATACACAATGTGGTTCATAGTAAAGAGTGGATTGTCCTTGTGGGGATATAACAAGGTATCTGATAAAGCAAACAATTTCACACATATCAGTTATTCATTGAAGTGGCAGGTATTAGTAAGAGCACAGCCAAGATCGGTTCAATAGCCACAAGGAAACTCACCCATTCTCTGGTCGCTGCCAAGGAGGTCCCAGCACTGGTCCAGGTGTAGCTTTGACAGTTACTTTAGAGCCGTTCTTAGCTTCCAGTTCAGAGAGCTGACCTGGTTCCAAGTAAGTTACCTGACACAATCTCAGACCATGTTAGGGTTTTGCATATGGAAAGCGTTTCCTAGTGCAGAAAGCAATAAATTTTGAAGGCCTATCAAACTTTTCATATCCATCCTCCTGTTAAACATAGATCAGCTATACATCCACCTTCACTTTCTATACCATGAAATCGTTCACGGAAGGTCCATCAAAAGAAATAATAGCTTCAGATAGTAACTCAACTGAGATCTAGCATTCATTTATTGATAGACATTTATCCATATCAGCTCCATGCATACTATCATACAAAGGGTTTAAGCAAGAATACACTTCCTGAGACCGAGAACAACATGAATCGAGTGATTGTTCTAAACAAGTTTGTACTGTAGTCTAGTAACCATCTGGACTAATAGTTGAATAGTGCACTTTCCTTTCACTGCCGGTGCATCAGTATAACACGAATTACGAAAGAAGCAACTTACAAGTGGACATGCATTTGAACAGGGTTTGCAAACTTACATTGGTGAAAAGAGGATCCAGCAGCGGCTTGGCATTCGGGGTCGCTATTACTCTCAGGTTTGGATACATTTTAGAAAGCGGGTTTAACGTCTTCAAATGACAATGGTCGTCAAGGCTTTGCGTAATCAGTAAGCAGTCCACTTGAGGAAGATCACTGAGCTGCATTCCCATTACAATACCAGTTCCATCAACCCATATTAACTCATCCAGACACCAAAATGAAAATCAAACTAGTTACTAGAACACACTTCGATTAAGTAGAGTGGTGACATGACAATCTAACCTGGAAACCACTGATGAACTTCTTAGCAGCATCGTAGAGCCATGGAATTCCAAAATCCAAGTTCCCCACCAGAATCGGGTCAACCAAAATCTTCACACCCTCCACCTCCCACAACCAACTGTTGCCCTAGAATAGAAAAGGATAAAAAAAAAATTAAACCCAATGCCATGAAAGAACCAAATTCGACAACGAGAAATCGAAAACCCGTCAAAATCACCTCCAAATAAGTGAGCTTGAATGCATGGGCGCCAGGGGAACTCGATCCGACCGCGCTTTCTTCAGATACAACAGCAGAAGCTCCGTTGCCCATCCCGCGAAAACGAGACCTAGAATTCTCAAACCAGAAATGTCTGCTCCTTGGTAGCTTGAGCGAGCTTGAAGAGACGCGCGTCTGAATCCGAGAACTAGATCCATGGCGGCTGCGAATGGATGTGGGGAAGAGCGACGAAATGGGTGCAGTAATAGTTGGAGTTGAAGAAGGAAGAGCAACCGATTGCACCGCTATTTCCATATCAGTTGCCTTCCACTTTTTCTTTTGCCCTCTGATTCTGTTACAAGTTTCGGACTTTCGAGTGTAAATGGCTAACCAGGAGTCGGACCACCAGTTTCCGGTTAACTTCTGGCGGGTTGTTTACCGCCGATTCGGTGCAAGGAGATGATGAGACGATGAATTCATTCAAATGGCAGTTTATTACGCCACGTGGTAGCGCCCTTTACCCCTCAACGACTTCTACTTTTCTCGCGGGCTTTTCCTCCATAACTCACACGACAAAAACCGTTACTACTTAGTGGGCTGGAAGTTGGGCTTCGGCCTTTTTTAAATATAAAAACTGTTGGGCTATCTTAGCTTGAGCGAATGATGTTGTAGAGCCCGGGTAATTTTTAAGCCCAGACTAATTTGTCGGCATTATATCGGATGTATTGGGCTCAACTCATTTGTTAAGGTTATCGCTAATAAGGCGACGGGTTACGCTCACAACCCCTGATTCACAACCCACCTCCTAACTATTGAATACGTTTTCTCTCTCGCCTCTCTTTTATCTTTTTCAAATTGATGGTTAATATTAAACGAATGATATTTTTGAAATGAAATTTTATCACATAATTATGGTTTTCATTTTCTATATAGTCCCTTTTTATTTACAAAAAACAAAAAACCCCACTCTTCCCTCTCACCCAAAACCTTAGCCACCGCTGTCGTCTCCTTCCATCTCTCCTCTGACTCCCACCACCTTCTATCTTCACGCCGCCGTCGCGAGGTCATCGCCTCTTCCCTGTCTTCCGGATCTAGTTTTTTTTGTGTTATTCTCTAGTGGTACTACCACTACTCACTGGTAGCGCTACTAGTGAGTAGTGATAGCGTACCACTAGCCCACTGACGGAATGATACTTTTTTGCAGGTGGTCTGACTGACGAAACTACCTGTTTCTCCTCGGTTCCTTCTTCACAAAGTTCGTGCCCTGAGCCTTCCAATTCGTGACCGCAATATTGGGCTTCAGGCCACGATCTTCAGCTTGAGTTCGCAGGCCATGATCTCAGTCGTGATCTTCGCTTCTAGGCCCGACCGAAGAAAGTTTAGAGGTCGGAGCGGAGAGACTGCTGGAAAAGAAAGAGAGACATAGAGAGAGGTATAAGTGTATAATTGTAGGATTTAAATTTTAAAAAAACATGTATTTAATATGGATTTTTAATTATCAAATTGTAATTAATACAAAAAAATTAATTAATATATTTTTTTGCCATACCCAAATTGCCTTTGGTTGTGAATCTCACAATCCCCTTAGGGGAAGTGACCGTATCCAGCCCCCTAATAAGAAGCTAAAATGACAAAGTCTAGCACAAAACCCTTTCCAATAAGGATTGATAAGGATTAAGTTTGGCGTATAACAGTTAGCGCGGCAATGAGAGTTAGATTTTCGGCCCCCACAGTTTACGTTGTCAAATGCGTCGGGCAAAAGGGTTGAGGCGCACTCGGTGACGAAGCAGGAGGTTGATCTCGCGTCTACCATACACGCGTGTGTGTATGTCGTGTAGCTCTTCCTCCCCCAAAGTTGTTGGCTTATTTAAACCAAATATTTTACGCTTTCAACCCCCAAGTTCTCTCCAACTAGGGGTGCAAAGGAGCCGAACCGAGTCGAGTTTACCCCAGTTTGAGCTCGGCTCGTTTATTAACGAGTCGAGTTCGAGCTAGCTTGCTTAATAAAATCTTGACTCATATTTGATATATTCATTTTGTATGTCTACATGATACATGTGATTAATGTCAACAATCAAGTTGAAAAAAATGATAATAATAGTTAAGTGTTCAATATTAACTAATCTCATATACTTTGTGGTATCAAATTATTTAGTTAATAGATTTTAACTATTGAAAATTATGTTATTTCGTAGTATCGAATCAATCTATGATACATAATTTATTTTAAAAATTAAATAAGACATATTTGTTCACATAATCTACGTGTTAAACTTCATATAGGGTGGGATATATGATTTAACAGTTCTATGAATTATCAAAATTAAACTCATATAGATCAATTAGCTCATAACTCGGTAACCGAGTTGCCTCTCTAGCCACAATGTTGAGAGTTGAGACATCTCATGAGCTCTAAACGAGCCAGCTCACGAGTTGAGCTCAACAAGCCACCGAGTCGAGCTAGCTCGCGAGCTGTAGTAAACTAAGCTCAAGCTTGACTCCTTAGTAAACGAGTCGAGTTTTGAACGAGTTTTTTCTGAATCAAAGACAAAGACGCTCGGCTCATTTGCATCCCTATCCTCGATGACTATTTTGGCCACCAACAACAAGTTCTTCAATTTTCATACGAATACATTATATTTCTTTACTACTTCACTTCATCACTTCCATTTTTTTCTTTCCTTCTACATCTTTTCACATTAGTAAAAAAAACTTTTCTTCTTCCCAAAATCTTGATCATGTCTCAATCTAATCGCCCTCTGAATTGGAAGGAGGCTGAAGATTAAGTTCTATGTAAGGCTTGGATTGAAATTTCGGAGGATGAGGTCGTCAGTCAATATCAAACCCCAAATGAATTTTGTAAGCGAGTGTGATTCGTGTCTTCTTCTAAAGGATGGGGGTTTCACCTACTGGCGTATTCTTGAATTCTAGATTGAAGACCATCATTCACCAATGGGGTCGTGAAATGTAGTGTAGAGGAGAGCAAGAGTGACATCAATGAACAGAGAAAACCTAAGTGATGTGGTTAATACTCAAGTTCTTATATTTATTACAGTGTGTTTCATTTCTTAATTATGCATGTAGTTTGGACTTATTAATATACTTGACTTAATTGTTTAGGTTAAATGAGCAAAATCACTTTTTCACAGCGGATATTGGAAAGCATTTCAAGTTGTAGTATTGTTGGGACTTGGGATATACTCCAACATTCTCTAAAATTTATGCAACACTTAATGCCCCTATAGCACCCTTTCCACCAATGGATGGATCTACATCGTCCACATCATCCGACGATAGTGATAACTTGACGTTCAAGCGGGATATGACTCCTTTTGTGATCAACTGTCCCGAATATTGAGATAAGCAAAAGAAGAAGAACTTTATATTCTTCCACAGAAAGTTGGGACAAGATTATGGCCAATTCGGTGGAGAATTCAAATTCGCATGCAAGGTTAGTCATAGCAATGTCGTGTAGTAATATTAATGCAATCAAAGTTATAAAAATTCTAGAAATGTCTAGGGTTGTATTCCACAAGACTTCTAACAATAACTACCCACAACCAATCATGTAATGGTAAAAAAAAATACTCAACATAATTCGATGGGTTGAAGTTCCCTATGTTTAATAGTTTTTTTCGAGATGCTTACTTAAACGACACCTTATTAGATGGTTAACACCATGGCAAGGTTGGGCGTGCCCAGTGGCGGACCAAGGATTATTGAAGAGGGGTGTCGCCGATAAAAAATTATAATAAATAAAATAATTAAATAAATATTTAATAGAAATTACTGGAAATTCAGTTATAAGTTCACAACGTCATGTTTACTACGAATTATGATTATTTTTCATATCCTGAGATTTTTTTTTAAATATATTCATCGTTTATGATGCAAATCAAACATTTTTCTATATACACAACTACGTAATCATTCATAAATTAGTCACTCAACCAAAGAGAATCGACATACGTCTAAAATCAAATTAAGTTAAAATAAATTAGTTTGCTACCAATCGGCAATTTTAGAAAAAACAAAGTATGCCTAAAGTAATATCATTAGCATTTTTTCTCTAATTCTATCAAATTAACCAAAATCAAACCACAATTTCCCATAAATATACGCAATTCACCTATTAATTGCAAATCGACAAGTTAAATTGGGTTGTGGGTTACTTAAAACAAGCATGCTTATTTGATTTTACTTATTATGGTTAATTATTAATTATGATGAATAACTTTATAACATTAAAACTATTGTCATATATTTAAAGTGTGTCGCTTATAATTATTAGAGCGGTGTCGGAAGTTCCAAATTAAAAAAATTTGTACTGAAAAAATGGAGGTCCTTCACAAAATTTTCGGGCGGAGGGGTGTCGGACGACACCCCTCCCCTTGCCCTAGGTCCGCCCCTGGGCGTGCCTTGGCATAGATGGTTCAGTCGTTCATTATTCTTCAAGCACGACAACTGCGACACTGTGAGGGGAGATGAAGGCCGCTTTGTTAATGCTTTCTTGGTGAACCTTGGAGAGGTTCCATAACTTGTGGAAAGCTGAGAGATTGTGCATGGTCTTAAGATTGTCTGGAAGTTGGGGATTAGGAAGGTCGTTCTATGAATAGATTCACAGATTGCACTGAGTGTGATTTAGTCCACACCAGCTCAACATCCACACTTTCTGTTGGTCGTTGGGTTATCGGCGTTTCATTTCCGCCAAAACATAATAATATAATCAAATAATACATTATAAATGTCACATAAAAATCCTGAAGTTTACTAATTTTTTGATTCCCTGTTGATCCCTTCCAAGTAAGTGAAGTTCATTAAATTTTACATGACAAAAAGATGGTTCAACAATGATCATAAAAATAAATTCAAAGAGAAGAGATGAAGAGAGAAAATAAGAGAAATCATTTAAGGGCAGTTTTAGTGATTTATAGGCTAGTTTGGCTTTGCTGTGGTTTTTGGAGAAACAGCTTTTGAATGGAGCTTTTAGAGAAGTACCTAAAAAAATAGTTGAGTGTTTGGCTAAAAACTACTCCAATTGCTTTTTTATATAAGAGCTCGTGTAAAATGACTAAAAAGGTTTCTAATATAAGATATAAATAAAAATTCTAAAAAATAAAAGTGGTCAAAATGGGTATTGTTAGATTTCTTTTATATGAAATATTATCACTTTTTTAATTATTTAATTTTAAAATGATATATATGATAGAAGATTATATTTTTTTAAAATTAAATTAAAATATGATAAGTGTAATCCTGTATTTTTCAAACAATTTTTTGCAGAAGCTTCAAATCGGAGTTTATGCTTTTTATGTTATACAAAATCACTTTTCATCTTTTTAAAGTCCGAACTTTTAGCGTTGTTTGTCCATACTTTAGAAGCACAATTTCTTTTGTTACAAGTGAACATAAAATGATAATAATAAAATAGGGTTAATTGCATTGTTGGTCATTGAGATTACAAAAAACGTTCATGTTTGGTCACTCGAAATATTTAA